AGTAAAAAAGGAGTAGAAATGATTGCCTTATCTACTAAGTAGATTTTGATTTTGCAATTGCTTATGTGCAATGGCTCGTTGCGTGGTTTATTCTCTGCTCTTAGCATTCGTCCGTTTTTCAGTGGAAGTTGATTTTTTGGTTTGGTGGTTTTCGATGTGATATGCTCGGTAAGTCATTTTGCTTCTTTATGTTGCATCCTATTGATGGTTTTGGTTATGTGCAATGGTTCGTTTGGTGGTGGTGTTTTCATATGTGAATTGTAACATACAAGGTGGTGGTTGGAAATGCAAGTGAAAAAACAATAAAATGTTTGAATATGCAAATTGATGGTGGTGGTGTTTGCATATGCAAATTGGAAACATGGATGTGCAAGCGATGTTGGCCGAGTTATTTGATTTTGTTGGGTGAAATTCGATTGATATTGTTGTCGGAATTTTGGTTGAGGTCGTTGTGTTGTTGGTGTGTGGATGTGTTGGTGTGTGGTGTGTGGTGTGTTGGAGTGTTGAGGTGGTAGTGGTGGTATTGTGGATGTTTTGATGAGTTGAGGTGATGGTGGTGGTATTGTAAATATTTTGGTTTGCTGATGCCTTGGTGTTTGGAGGTGGTGGTAGTGGTGTGGTGTGTGGAGGTGGTGGTAGTGGTGTGGTGTGTGATGTGCAAGTGTAGTGGTGTGGTGTGGAGGTGTTATGATGATAGTTGGAGGGGCAGCGGTGATACTATTGTGACATTCTTATTTTGTCTTTGAGTTCTGTTAAATATTTTTTATAACAAATATTTATGTTGATTTGTTTTTTCATGCTAGTATGTATAATGGTTAAGAACAAAGAGATCGATTCATCTGCAATGTGGGATAATGATACCAAAATAATATTTTGCGGCATTTGCCTGAAAAATGTTAAATTAGGAAAATAGGTCGACAACATATTTCAACAAGAAGAGCTAACAAAATATTATTAAAAATTTCAAGAATAGTACCAACAGAGAGTATGATAGGATATAATTAAAAAAATAAATGGGATCAACTTAAAAAAAATTGAAAAAACTGGAAAGAATTGAAGTGGGGATCCACATGTTTGAGTTGAGATCCGATAAAACGAACAATTGATATTTCAGAGGAGTGGTGGGCAGAGAGATTGTGGGTGATCATTTTTTAAACATCCACTGCTTTTATCAATTTTTCATTTTTTTATTTCAAATGCATCAAAATGTGTTATCACTTTGTATGTGGTGTAAGCTGCGAAAAAATTTAAATACAATGGCATCGATTCTGAGCTGGAAGAGAAGTTAAATCATATGTTTGGTAGTGTCGTGACAACGAGCAATAATGCATGTGCACCTAGTGAGACAGGGTTTGTTCGTATCGCTAAAAACCTGGCTGCAAAACAAATAGGTGGTTCTAATGAAGGCCCTAGCCTGAACCTCCATGAAGTTGAATCCATTATCCAGTAAAAGCGTTCAACAGGTCATGTGTATTATGGCGGCAACTACAAAAATTTATGAAGACGTGTTGTATCTGCTCTCTACGAAGTTGCTTTAAGATCCAACCCGAAGAGAGTTTTTCATGACGATAACCCCTAACAGTAGGGTTCATTATTTACGTTATTTCATGTGAAAAGTGACACTTGAGGGACACCTGGTTTTTTTTCTTGTGAGACAATTTACATTTCTTGTTGCAATAGACATTTTTATTTGCTTTTGGTTATTTACTTTTTCATTCAGACGATGTTAAATTTGATTTGCAATTTTATTTTTCATCGTTATGTTTTCTATTGACCTCTAATTTTATTTTGAAGTTGATTTTGTTCATAACAATATATGATTGTAACTAATTAGTTGATGTTTATGTGTTAGCTACTTTAACACCGAATTACATGGATACAAATAGAGAAAGAAACGGAAGGAGAGTTGCAGCTGCAGTGTGTTTTGAGTATTATAATTCGTACATAAAATGCTATTTTTACATGACATTCTCGTACATTGGTGACAAATGAGTTAGGGAGTTGCTTGCAGGTCATCCAACGAAGTTTAGCAATATATTCCGCATGACACATGCGGTATTCATTGATCTGTTGGGGGAACTACACAGAAATCATTGACTTCATGACTCCACCAAAATGACTTCACGAGAGGTGTTAACAATAACCCTCTACATATTATCACATAATGAATTAATGTTAGGAATTTTAGAGCTATTTCAACACTCTTCCAATATAATTTGTAGAAATTTCCCAGTAATTCATCATAAGTCATAAAGTCAACAGATCCTACATTCAAACGGATCTCCCAGAGATTTCCTACGATGCACGATGGCATATTTTTAGATAATTCCTCTTCTTTATTACATTCAATTTTCAAATGAATATAGTAATTAAGTTACCTTTGTTTATCTTTTTAGAATTGTATCGGAACAATCGATGGAACACACGTGGATGCACTTGTTCCAAATAATGAGAATATCACATTCATCGACCTTGTGAATCACCAACGCAGAATATCACAGTTGCATGTGATTTCAATATGTGTTTTATTATGGTAGGTTGGGAGGACAGTGCACATGACAGTCGCTTTTTTTTTTACTTCAACACTAATCATTCTATTCACATTAGGTAAATATTATTTGGTTGATGGTGGGTATTTGTTGCAACGAGGGTGTCTGAAGCTCTATCTTAATACGAGATATCACATACCTGACTTTGAAAGAGTCAGCAATGTCACGCGGGGCATGAGAGAAATGATCAACAAAAAATACTCTCATTTACACGGTGTCGTTGAGAGGAAATTTGGAGTTTGAAAAAAGAAATGGGTTATACTTCGTGATATGTCAACTTATTCGTTTCTAAACAGGTGCAGATTGTGATTGTTACGATACTCTTTACATTATATTCGACATCATTCCCTCAACGACATTGATTTCTATAAGGCAGTTGAGCATCATTCAAAGGTCTCTCCTGACGCGTATGAATATTGTATTGGACAGTTCCTGTCACAAATTGAAAAACTTGTCATATGTCAAAAATAATATGCTCGAGACAAACACTCAACATGAAGAAGGTGAGATAACAGAATTGAGGGAACGAATTTCAGATTTTATAGTTAAAGTGTCATTGGAGGGAAAGTTAGTTTTTAAATTTATTAATTATAATAGTTGTTGAAAACCTTCACTATTTATTGTATCTGTATTTTATATAAGTCATGTATATTTATGTTTCTTAGGCATTTGATATTTATTGTATCAGTTTTTATGCAAGTAACATGTCCTTTTCCTTTTTGCATGTATTTTCTCCTGCTTGGATGACCGATGAGGCAACCATGGGAATATATGTATCCTAAATATTGCATGTCCTTTTTTGTGGGTTTGGAGATCTATGACGAGACGTTTGACCAAAATATTGAGTATTTTCATTTGATTTTTTTTTCTTATGGATGACCTGTATGTCGCTATTGGTTGGTGTCACATGTGAAATCCTAATAAAGAAAACCAGGTTCCTTTCTTTTTTCAGTGCTATGATTTTTTAGGTTCTTCTGGATGACTTTTTTTTGTGATATACATATCTGACACAAACGAGTTCGGTATTATGTGGGTTAAAGAGAACCAAAAACCCCTTTTTTATAATGTTCGTTGTCTTCTTGTAGTAACAAATTCGTTGGTTTATATATTGAATTCTCTGAGACCTCACAGCTGCATAAAACTTTAATTAATTATTTTTGTTATTAGTTTTACAAGTGTTATACGTGTTTACCTTCAGGAAAGATGAGCTCGAGGATTTGCGATAATTCCAGAGGACTGCACTGCTACTGCGGACTACAATGTTCCATGCTTCACGTCAGTCACATAGCTACGAAAGACAGTTTTATAGGTTCCCAAAAAAATCACAAAAAACTCTGACTATTTTAGGCGGGCAAATGAGCTGAAAGATTCCACCGGCGAGAATGATAGGGCGTGGAGAGTGTCCTTGGAGAACGACTTATCTAGCGATGTACACCGTCTGCATTTTAAAAAAATGTTATCATATTATTAATTGATATTTTAATAGTCATTTTCTTAATTTTGATAGTCATACTACTCACTGTTTAGTGAGACGTCTATCTTTATTTTGAAGTGTTCTGCACTGGATATTTGCTTGGTATAAATAGTTTTGTTGCAAAGAGCGTTACAATACATGAGCAGAATTATCATTTATCCAGAAACAGTTGCAGCACAGTTGTTTTCAAATTACAAAAAACAAACAGAAAGTCATCTTATCTGCAGTAGCTTCCTATCATAGTTGTTGCGCGCAGCTTATCAATAAGTTGTTGCTGCCCCAAACTAACCCTTAGCCAATTTGTTCAGATTTTTGGATTTTTTTTTTCTTTTTCTTTTTTTCCCCACACCCTTAAATCTTAGAGGTGATTTCAGATTCTTGTGCTGCAAAATGAAAACCTTAAACAGCTAGATGGCCACATCACTTTGTATGCACGTGCAAAGAAAGCTTATACAGAATATCTGAAACAACTACTGGGGTTCAGATGATGCAAATAACAAGCGAGATTAAATTTCTAATGAGCATGTTGTAGGAAATTCCAAAAAGGATTGAAAGATGAAGTTCTAATATGTGCCTCATAGAATGAAGATAGAATTGGAGCTTCAGATGAAGTGGTTAGATCAACATTAATCCAATCTAGGCTCAGCCAAATTGCTAAGGACATTACAAAGTTCATCCAAATTGAATAGTTCTCTCCAGTTCTCATAGAAGACAATTAATCCTGAAACTTCTTGCATCAAAATCCCATAAAAACTACTAAAAGACAGATTCAGGTTTACACCGAGTACCTTCATACTATGCAGGTACACCCATAATAAAATCATCAATAAAAACCACACTGAAAGCTAATATATTAAAATTTTCTTCTCTTTCTGATTAAAAACAGTTCAATAACAAGCAATGACAGCTAAATTAGAGCAACATGACTTTATTTAAAACACACACAGGAAGAGAACATTTAGAGGAGAATCTCACACCTGCAAACAAGGAAGAATAGCCGGTTTCCGTGTTTGTAAGAAATGGATGCACATCAACACATAGCTGTAAAAGTTTTTTCTTCTTTTTAGTATTTACAGAAACCGTTTCCAATGCACAAATAACTCAGATGAACAGTAAGTATAATTCTGCTGCAACTCACGCATAGCTAGAAAGGGTTCCTTGATATGTTTCATTCACCCGACGAGACTTGGCCCAATGTTTCACAACAAATGCTAACTGCCTTAATCTCTGATCAATTTGAGCATAATCCTTAAGAAGCTTGGTGTTGACAACAGCTAGAAGATTGTTTACACAGATATCACAAGAAATTCCCGTTGCAGGATCCATCATCTTTACAATAGGAACCCTAGCACGGGTAAGTGCCTATTATCATCCAACAAATCGTGTAAGAAATCAGAGTAAACTGTTAAAAAGTATGGAAAAAGATCACCATAGTGCAAAATGTAAAATAAATAAACCAACTTTGACAAAATGAAGTATTAATTAAAGCATGTAATGGGATATCAAGGCCAATAAACATATATCTCGAAATATAAATGAAAACCTCATTAAACAATAAAATAAGCAACCGTGATAAACTGACAATGAAGCAAGAAAAGAAGCTAGATGTCTCCAAACCAAAAGCAACTTCTAAATAGATATTTTATTCATGCCCTGCATAGAAGGACACTAATATATTCTAGGAAACACCAGAATACCATGTTGGATGCCAATTATGGTGCATCCCATTTAAATTTTAAATAAACAATAATTAGCCGTATCAGATCAGATAACCTTCCAAGTTCCAAAATGATACAAATAAGTTTCAGGGTAGAATGATCGATCATCATATATTAGCCAACTTATAAGAATTTTGCCATCTATAATTTGATATACGCCCTTGCTAAAATTGAAACCTCATTTTTTGCCAACTCACGGGTATAATAAGCATTCAGGATAAGTTTTCTCCGTCCACAAGCATCCTTGGATGTTTATTTTATTATTAATATAAATAAATGTCCATATGGATGTATTATGACGTGCATTTGAAGGTCACTCATTATATAAAGAAATTTTAATATTATATGTACATACACGCACAGGTGTAAATGTATATGCAAATATGTATATATATATATATATGTTTATGAGTTAGAGATATGCTCTTATGGCTAAAAGATTTGTAGTCCTAAATCTTAGCATTTCAATTATGTATTGTAGTTATTTAACAATTTTTTTCAAGGTGTACCAAGTCTATCCTCATATCCCGTGCATGTCTTCAATTCAAAGCTTTAATTCTAAAAACAAAAGTATGCATGAATTTTCAATGTTTTCACGGCTGATGTTCCTAGAACCGTCCAAAAAAAGGGATATACTCGGAACTTCAATAGGCACTCCCATGTTCCTTCTAAGGTAAGTTCTGACCCACAAAAAGTTAGATGCAATTAACTATGTCTTGGATCTAAATTAAACAGTGCGTTACAATTATTGGGGAAAAACCAAAATTGAAAGCAATGCTATGTGCAAATGATAAAAATCAATCATTGGAAAGTTCACCACATAACACTTGAGAAGACAAAATAATAGAGATGACACAAATTCAAGATACTGAAAAATAAAAAACAAATGAAACAATGGTTGAATTTTTAAAAGCAAGACATCATACGTGAGAGATTGGAGAAAACAAATCTGAGAACAAACAAACAAATTCATCAATAACAGGCCACAAGCCTATTGTGAGAGTGAGTGAGATTTAAAAAGCGGACAATGAGAAAATTTGAAAGGAATATCAAAGAAGCTTCCTCAAAGAAGAAATAAGTTTTCCTAGAACCAACAAAAACAAGCAATCATATAGAAATCAAAGATGAAAGAACGCAAATCTTACCTACCTGAACGTTTTGGAGATTACTAGACTTTAAAATATCAGCCAACTTCAATAGAATATCAAGCTTGCTTATCTCGTGATCCTTTATTGCGAGACAAACATCAATGTCACTATTTGAAACCCCAAACGAATTAGCACATGAACCATAGACATGGAGTTCAGCATCCGGCCATTCTTTCTTTACCAACTTCCTCAGCAAGAGTAACAACTGTTCTTGCTTAATTATTTCAACCTCTGAGGGTAAAAGAGACTTAAAAATAGAAAGGAAATGAGGTCCAAAACTGTCCAAGTCAGGGCGTCTCTGTAATTCTCTTTTTCGGATCCTGATTCGTTGGCTCGATACACTATAACCTCTAAAGAAATCCTTCCTGGCATCCTGCTAAATAAATCAAATTTAAATCATGAATAAAATCGCATACATTCAATTGTAAGTAAAAATATATCTAAAAACAATTTACTTCCATGTTGAACAATAGACAACCAAAAATAATTGATGTTGAAAAATAAAGATAAAAAATATTAATTAGTGCAACCCTGAGTTAGTAATGGAAAATGAAGATTTCAAAAGTGAAACTAAACTAAAGATTCCATGCTTAAAAACCGGGCAAAAATATATTAGGTCTACCAAAATTCACATAATAGATCCTAAAAAATGAATCTACACTCGATAATGCATAAAATATTTCCAAATTCCTACAATATAATTTAGTGAGACTAGCATCCGATCGAATTATCTATCATAAACATGAAGATGACCTGCCTTCAAATGCTTTCCATGGCGCATCAACTTGCCTTCAAAACTTCAACATACGCAAAATCCACAACAGCAAAATAATAAACAAATACTAAAACTTACATACCATTTCTCATGTTAAAAACCCATACAAGAGGAAGAAGACAAATCTAGACCAGATAGTTGGTACAGCATTGTTTGAACAAACAAAAGTGAACTAGCTGCATATGGTAATTTAACTTCAACTAACGCAAGGACAACAAACGGTTGGCTGAAACATTCAAAAGTGCTTACAGTTAAAAAAATGAGAACTTGCATATTAAACTTTCCCCAGAAAGCTTTTATAATAATGAAAGCCTGAAAAACATCTCAAAATCCTCAATAATCAATGTGAATAAACTGAAATGGCTTTCCTGCATTCAGCTCATAATACCTACTTCACCCAATGTCCCCCACTTCCTAATTTGATTATGAGAAGACTGCATGCCAACTGCTTCCAACAATCTTTTTCCCCAACTTACAAGCACTTTTACTTCCATTAATAATAATGATGACGACTTTTATGTCTTCGTCATTTTTTTAATAACAAGAAATGAGATGGAGGGTGGATGTAAAATATCTGTGGGTATCTCTACGAAGGTTGGGCAGCAATCCATCTTAAAACCAGCCTAATAAAATATGCATTTACATTTTTTTTTTTCGCAAGAGGGTGTTTGCAGCAACTAGTGAGGTCTGGTGTAGAGCTGCTGGCATGGATTGGATTTGCAGTTTTACTGCTTGTGAACGGGGGTGTTGACATACAGACGGGTGTTTGGCTGTTGTGGGGAGAATTTTAAATGATCAGGGACTAATTTAAACAGGAAATTGATATTGATTAAGCCTCAACATTTTACTAGCCTGGATTAAGATGCATCTATAAGTAATCATTATTAGGTATATAATTGACAACTATTTGATCTTGAAAAAACAATACTTATTATTGTTTTCAATTTTAAGAGTGCGAGTTGAATATGTCAATCCTTCCAGAAAAATAAAAGTAAGCTTGTCTAATTCCAAGAGAAGTCGTCTGTCTCTTTGTACCGGAGTGAAGCCTTATTTTCTCTACTTCGGTGATTTCATTTATCGTCTATTTCACTTGATAATTTATTACTGGCAAGTTTAGTGCCCTTGATTTATGGTTACAAAGTGAGAGATCCAATATTTAATTTTATGAAATTTAATTTGTTTGCTAGCTGACTATATTAGTTTCCAATTCTTACAGAAATTCTTACATATTTACAATCATCTTTAAATGGGATAGCCATTTCATTACTAGTTGAGTTTAAAGACAATTACTGCTTGCCTTCTTAAGGAAAATGAGCTATTGGATTGACTTAACGATGTCTAAATCCTAAATTTTACTTTACATTAAACATACTACACATCATAATTTGTATTAGGAAACCCTAACCATGAGCTATCCTACATCAAATTGGTACCTACGATTTTATCATGTTGAATAAACAAAGGATTCTTATTAGGTCAATAAAAAAAAAAATCATTTATGAAATTTGGAACGGATTGAATAAGTTATGGTCTAGAAAGCAGATTGTAATTATTAAATAAATTAATAGGATGCTTGATTACTTTGACAAAGTATTTCCTGTAAAATAAATCAACAGTCTAACATGAAGCATGCACTCGAAAAAAAAATGATTACCATCCAATGAATACCACACTGGATTACATAATCAATTTTAAAGTTGCAATCAAAAAATATTTCTAACATTACACATTTTGAAAACTACACATGCTTTGTCTTTAATGAAAATAGAGTCTCCGTGTAAATGTCAAGATGAACCACTCATATATAATGTAATTAATCAATCAAATGAGCAATCTTAAAATATAAACTAAGATGAATTCTTTGTCTATATTGCTCTCATAATGGATGATCAAATTGATATAAACTTTGTTTTAAGTTCTTAGTTTCCTAATATATCAATTCATAGGAAGAACTTTACAGAAAAAGGTAGGTTGCATGATATTCAAGAATTCATTAATAACAAACACCTTAAAACAAAATTAAATTTTCAAATAATATTTATCTCATTAAATTCTAATTTATCAAAACTTATATTTAAACTAGTCATATTAACTTTCTTTAAAGAGGTCATCTATCCAGAGAGTTATATTCATATATTAACTTTCTTTAAAGTGGTCATCTATCCAAAGAGTTATATCATAATTGTATGATTTTTCTACTCTAATTTCATTTGAAATTCATTTTCAAAAATTACTTGCAGGTCATTCATAGTAATTCTTAAAATTTATATTAATCTTTTAGTATTTTATTACTTACATCACTTGCAAATTAATTGCACAACATATGCACGAATTACACAAGGATATTTGCATGAAACTAACTAGTATGATAATTACAGACTTTCTACTTACATGGACAAGAAGTATGTGGGGCTTAAGTTCAGTGTTATGATCATGGTGAATTAAGAAAAAGATTCCATATTAGACTTTTACGAAGTTGAATGCAAGGCAGGCAAGACTATTTAAGTTTGTGAGGTTGAGTGGACCCAATGCCTAGAAAATTAGACATACCCAAAAAAAAAATTCTAGCATAAAACAAACTTTCAATATATCTATTTTGACAATATTTCATAAACATACTGCTAATATATTTCTTGAATTCTACTCTCTTTCCAACTATTTGTTGTGAATCTACATAGTAGATACTTCCATGCAACTTCTTTATCAAGCCATTCCAAATTGACGAGATGCTGTTTGTTACTAATGATGGATTGCACGCGTATCTTATTCACTGACAGGATAACGCTAACTGTAATGATTCATGGATACACTACAACATGCTAAGAATTTATTTCCAATTTTTTAAAAAAGTATCAAATGGTAAATTCCTTAGAGCCAAATTTATCCATCAAATCCTGACGATTTGAAGAAAGACTTCACACTTATTTTTATTAGAAATATCACAACAAGAATAAATTTATATATATTTTATACATGTTTCATCAAATGGTTTCATTTCATTTGTTCATTTACTAATTATTTGTCATAATGGCATACTGGAGATGAAGGGCAAGAAAGGTATTTTCTAGATTGAGGTTATAATTTATCCGATTGGTGTGGTTTCAACAATTATTTAGTATAGCTTCACTCTCCAAAATAATTGAGGAGGTTATGAATTATGATGCAATGCTATTGGAATGGATATCAAAAATTTAATTTGCTGGAACCAATATTTTCATTTTCAAGTCAGGTAAATTAATGTGGTGGTCTTTAGAATTGTGCATTAATAAATAGAAAAAGAAAAGAGAGAGGAAAAAGTTCTGGGCATGCAGTTGTAGTTAAAAAAAAAATTTATGTGAAGGTCAAGCAAGAATCCAACTTATCCAATGCATAAGATACTTGGTGAACTTGAAATTGATAATTATGGATCAATATTAGCTAAAAATCATGTGGCATCTAGAAGTAATGAGTTTAACCATCTTGAATCCATTATGTAAGAGAATGGTAATTTAGATGATGACATATCTTGAGTTATAAGTTAAAGACTAAGCTAAGAAAATATCTCATGAGGATTATGCTTAAAGATGCATTCAAAATTTTGTTATTAGACAATTTTTGCAGCGTCAATATCAGCCATCTAAAAGAGTATCATGTGTAGAAATGAGATGGCATCTTTAATTTAAAGATCCTGATATAGAATTATAGTCACCCAATCTCCATAAGATCATTTAGATATTTCTTTCCAAATGTACTTAAGTAAATAAAATATAATTCCCCCTTTGATTCAATATTAGAGCAAAACTTGGATGTCATCTATGACTCCTCCTCAATTAGAGGACACTGAGCCCAGAAATCCATGAATGGATTAGCACCACTCATATGTATACTTGAAAGAGACCCCTAAAACGTATTTATTGCTTACAAAAATAAATGTGTAAGTAGATGTCTACTAGCCCTGAAGGTTGCAATATTATGCCATGGCACCAAGGCAAGTTGCATAAAGAAGACATTATTCATCTAATCATGCTAACTTTTCTTGCAACCAAAGCCCACACTACTCTATTTCCCAAAGATTATGATGCCCAACATAAACCAGAACCACTGCTAGGTTGCATCCATGAAGACGTCAATAAAACTGAATTGGATGTTAGAAATAATTTTTGGTTCTCCAAATCTGAAACAATTAGGCATCTTTATCTCAAATTTCCAGTTATATATCTTAGATATTTAGTTTTTAACCAAGTATTTATAACAAAAACAGTAAATAACTTAATTTGGAAGTGTTGCTAAGGTTGAAAATGACTTCTCCAAAAGGAAAACATACAATAAAGGGGAAATACCAATGTTTAAAATTACGCAATTTGGTATTGAGATGTTTTTCATTCATGAGGCAAGGCATAAGCCTTGAGGCGGTCTGAGGCATAAGCCTCGCAAATTGAAAATTGTATAGTTAAAATAAACGAGTAAAAAATATATAATAGCATCATCATAATTTATAAATAAATAAAAGGAATACACATTAAGATCATAGCACGATAAAAAGTGATAACTTTTGATTAAAACATACCACTCAATAGTGAATTCCGATGTCTTTGCATATCTAATACTTAAATTTTGATCGATGTATTTTAAGGGGCATTTACATAAAACATGACACAAGTTTAATGCACTTGCATATCTCACACCTAAATTTGTTTAGATAAGGGGCAACGTCGATATCTGCGTTGGTTGTGGTGTTCGGTGTGTGAGAGTGTGATGGGAGACATAATCTTACGGGTTCAAACGAAAGAGTGGTAGGTAGCTACGGTGGTGTTGGCAGCAGAAGCATCGGGCGACATTGGTGGCAAGAGAATCAGGTGGCACTGGCAACGACTTTGGCGGCATCATTTGATGCTATAGGAGGCGTCATATGGTTTGTGAGAGCGAGATAAGAGGATGTGGGAGATGAAAGTTTACAGGTTTGGCATCAGATAATTTTAAATAACAAAATACTTACATCGAATACGAGACAATCACCTCATCGTTTTTTAGGCGAAGTGGGCCTTATTGCGTGTCTCGACAATTTTGAGGCGTACACCTCACGCAATCCAAGCAAGGCGTACGTGTTGATGTGATAGATTTTTCAATTGTGCAGACGTACCTCTCTAATTTTCAATTTTAAACACTAGAAAATACACCACAAAAGGCATCAAGATTTATGTAACTTGACTTCAACCAGGCATATGATAGAGGCATGATGATCTAGTCTAGTAAAAGAATATAAAAGCAATAATCATGATAAATTAATTAAAAGAACACTAACCATCCCTTCCCAATTCCCAAATACGCCCATACTCAACAAAAAGAAAGACCAAAAAACTTCTAAAAATGAGATTACCATACAACAAGATGATGATAATCTCCTTCAGCAAATATAGAAAACAATGTGGTTTATCTCAAAAGCCACATATTACAAAGGTAAAAGAGATTTTCTTCTTTTTCTCGCATGTAAAGCCAAAAATCATAACTGAGATAGTATTTGAACCCCTAATAAAGGGGCATGCCATGGGAACTTCCAAAGCTTACAAATCTAAGTTGACAAATCTTTCCTTATAATTGTCAAAAACCAAATCATTTAAAGGTTCTCACGGGGAAATTAATAAGGTAGCATCTCAATTTAGAGATCTTGAGGTAGAATTATAACCATAGAGTTTCCATAGTAATATTTCGGCTATCACTTTCCACATATACTAAATTAAAAACAACAAAATGAACATCAGAGTAAACGCAAAACAAAATTCATGCATAGACAAGTTAAGCGAAAAGATGAAATTTTTAAGATATAGATTGGGGTCAATAGAAGACCTGACAAAAACCTGTCGTGTCGGATACAAGTCAACTCAAGTGACTCAAAAAATAATTTATTCATGTCAGGTCGGGTTCAAGTCAAACAAATAATAATGATTTAATTATATTTTTTAATAAATAATCATATTAAGTTATTTTTTTTATTCTTACTCAGTTTTCACAACCAAAACATGTATCACATCGATTTTGGTTATAGCTGACACTAGTCCACCAAGACTTAAATATTTACCACACCACTTCAAGTTGTGTTCGGGTTTTGTCAAGTTGGGTGTGGCCCAAGTTAAAATTTTAACATACTTATTACATGGGTCAAGCTCAAGTTAACCATATCTCTGACAAGCCATTTTCATATTGGACTCGAACATGACTTGTGAAACCGAATTGACACCTCTAAATATAAATATAGTAAAACTTTGAAGGTTGGAATATTAAAAAATTACATTAGAATGGTAGAAGAGCAACATTCATTGAAGTTAAAATCTTATATAAAATATGTTTCTAGTGCTTTCAGCATTTACAACATGAGGTACTTATAATGCACAAACAAGGTAGATGGACCTAATAAGTTTGAAAATAATACAAAAGTTGTGTTAGGCATGAGGTAAAATAGTTACACGTGAACTAATTTTCACAAAAATAATTAACACCATAGTCAATGCTAAATAAAAATAAATTGAGAAAGATTCATTAAATTAACATCACAAGGTTAGTATAAGGGTGACAATGAATATGCCATTGACGTGTCCTCAATTCCCAAAGAGGAAATAGAAAAAAAGCCTTTTCTTCAAGAGGGAGCTCACGAGGTAAAGAAACTCAACTGCTCGCGAAGAAGAAATGGATAAAGGAGCTTCCTGATTCACCCCATGACTTGAAATTGCAACATATTATTGACATGGAAGTATTATCCAAATGCTAAAGTAGTTTATCAGTTTTTCTGGCGGAGATTTGAGTAGTATAATTTATAAGATAGCATTCATTCAATTTTTCATATAAAATTCATCTATAAATCTCATATGGAAGTTTCCCAAAGGTTCCATTCATAATTTTGAAGGAGGCAAGCTAAATTATGAATAGTATGTGTCAAAAATTGGCTAGACATGTCAACTCAACTTGAACTCAGCTCAAAAAATCTAGCTTCGAGTTGACCCAAATAATTTTCAGGATGGGTTCATGTTAGAAATCCTAATCTCTTTAATATTTTGGGTCGGATTCAGGTTGACACGTCAACCCTAAATTGACTTGAAACAAACTTGCTAGCCCGAAATTGACTCAAAATCAACCCCCAGGAACCCAAAATTGGCCTATAGTTGATCCTAAATTAACCCAAACAGTTGTTATGACTTATGTTAAACGGTTTACACGGGTCGAGTTCTAGTCAATGAGTTGAAGATGGGTTTTATTCGGGTTGAAATTTCTAACCTATTTAATATTTTGGTTGGTTTATGGTCGTAGTTTCGAGTCAGGTCAATTTCAAGTCAGCGAACCCGACCCATGAACCCAATTTGTCTCCTATAATGAAAAACAAGACCCCAAGCTCCAAATTTTATGCCAAAAAAAAAGACAAACTTTTCAACAAACCTATAGAATGGTAAATAGTGATTCTTCATTTTGTTTATTGTGTGTATGAGTGTGTTTTTTCCTTTTAGCAGTTAGGATACCAAAAATCAAAATTTATGGTACATTGGCATTTAATAGTTGCAACCATGTAAACAAAACAAAAACTTACCACGTATTGCTAAAAAAACATGAATCCAAAATGCCTAAACAAAAATGCTAAAAACCAAAATGCCAACAAAGCAAACAATTGCATTATCAAGTAACCATGCAAATGAACATAGCAACAAGCACGAGATAAAGAAAAGGTTAGTGAAATTTGATTACCTTACCCCGCAAATTTCTCTTCTCTTTTGCCTCTCCGGATGGCTGTTGGTCACTACGATCTGCTGTAAGCTGTTCTCCTAGCAAATCATCTTCATTGGAAGCCTCATGTTTAGAAGAAATTTGTCCAATTTCAACATGATCTAATTGTTCCAAAATCTGAAAGCTTTGTTCATCGATTTCATTATCCATCAAATCTTTATCAAAATCTCCACTAGATTTCTCTCCCATGAAATCACAGTTGTTCAGAATAGGACCAGGGTAATAAGAGTGAGAATGCTTTTCTCTATAAACACTATATCCATTTGGCAATCTTCTATGCCGTGCATCATTATCCAAGATCCTACCGTCCCTTTGCTTCTCATCTTGTCTCCCTGTCCTCTCTTTTTGAGATTCCAATCTCTGCAACATTTTAAATGCTGCTGCACTCCTGCCTTCCTCATTGTAATCAGGCCTCCACTCAGGACGACCATGTGGTCTCCATTGCCGGTTAGACCCAGCAGAACCAATTTGACTACGGGAAACACCTTCCATTTTGCTATTAAATTTAGCCAAACCGTCAAAGCCGGCTTTCCCAAATCCAGGGGGAGGTCTAATAGAAGCTATCTCCTCTTGGCCCCGATAACCAGTCACCTTCTTCCCGCTAAGGTTTCCCGTACTATTAGAAGCCAAAAACCCGTCATGAGGCGGTCGCGGACAACCCTGACGGACATTACTGTTCAATAGAGCGGAACTATGTGGAATGACTTCACTCGGAGTAAACCCTAACCTCCCATCGTCCATCGGGAAGCACCGCTGCCCTCCCGAAAAATTGGGATTCCTGACATCAGGAGGAGTAAAGCCCGGGGGTGCCCAGGAGGTCGGGGAAAAACTCGCGGGCTGGGAATGGGCCAATAAGCTATGAGGAAGGAAGGAAAATCCAGGAACTACTGCAGCGACGGCGGGGTCCTGATAAGGAGGAAGAGCTTCGTGGGGAAGAATAAGGTGTGAGGAAGAGGATGACGCTGCTTGAGGCGTCTTCTGAAGAAGCTGGAGAAGGAAGGAGCCGTCGAGGGTTTGTGGATTGCCGCTGCCGGAGGAGGAAGTGGAGGTGGAGGGATGCTTAACGGGACTAGGCGGCCCTTCTTCGAAGGAGTGCCTCCTCCGTGCTTCCGCCATGCTTAAACTCCTCTGCTATTCCGATCTCCCTCACGTTTGTAGAAAGAGATCTAGGGCATCGGGGTGCCGGTCTCACCTTCGATCTGCACAAAAAAACTAACTTTGGAAATTTACATACGTGTCGCGCACAGTTGTTAAGTATGAATTAAAGCTATATAATAAAATTATATTTCATTTTAAAAAAATAAAAATATTATTATTTTTATATGATAATAAAAAATTAAATACTATATATATAAATATGATCGTTCAGATTTAAAATATGTAAATAGATGTGAATGGGGTACTACGAAAATAAATGGGCATTTATATATCATCGAATTCATATGTATTTACATATTTTATAATTAAACTTTTCTTTTGAAACTTTTACTGTCCAAATCTTTAATATAAAATAAAAAATATCATTATTTCAACTTTTAAAAATGAAATACAGTGTTAGACATGTAAAAAAAATTGGAATTGATTGGTGTGTATATAAATTTTCCCAAATTTTTAGAAGATTTATGTACATCCCACTTAATTTATATCTATTTACATGTCTAACACCTTAACTTCATTTTTTATATATGGCAATTTTTTTTAAAAAAGTTTAAATAATTATACTTTTATATGATATAATAATTTTACAGGGTATAAATGTAAAAAATAAAATATGAGTGTTTAATACCTAAATATATAAGAATTGGGTGGTATTTACTTTCTATATTTAAACTAGACAATTTTTTTTCTATCACATAAAAGATATTGTTATTTAATTTTTAAGAAGTTGATTAAATATTTTCAGATAGAGATAAAATGATATATATATATATATATATATATAAAGGAATGGCTAGAGGCTATTATACGAGCATCCAGCCACCCATAATGCTTACATAGACATAGATATATTCTGAATTACCTTCTCGAAAACACGCATAGAGAGTTAGAGTTTGTGAAGGGATGAAAAAGAGAGACTGTGTGAGAGAAGTTAAGAATGTCAGAGAATTCCCTCGTGTGAGGATCCAAAAAGAAGAAGTTTCCTTTTATTGCTGTCATAACCTTCTATTTATAGAGGTCTCAAAATATAGTTATACAGAAAGGAAAGAACGGCTACTCTAATTGTCCAAAGCATTAAACCAACATGTTTGTTGAGTAAAAAATTACATTGTAATGCAACTATATATTTGATGTCAGTAGACTATCTGATTTGTGAGTCGACCGACTATGCCAACTGTCTAATGTTCGAGTTGGTTGACTCTATCGACCGACCAAATGTTTCTCAGCGATATACGATAATTTGACAGAAGCGTGCTTTCACGTGCTTGTGCTCTCTCATTCGGCGGACATGTTGGCCAGAAAATTTCATTGATCGAAACTCTATGTCGGTCGATTCCGCCCTAAAGGCGATAGGTTGTTTGCTTGTAAAATTTCAATTATGTAGTTTGAAGCTTCATCTATACGTCTCTATTCTTAATCATTTGATCTTCTTGAGATTCATGCTGGCATTTTTTTAGTATACATATTAGTTCCCAAATTTTTCTTATTCTTGATGGCAATAGTTACGATAAGGACAAGAAAATTATTAGACGCCAAATGGTACAAAAATCAGAGAAACTAATTTAATAATCAATCCTCCCTTGTTTTTTTTTGCCCAACGGATTCTATTAATAGGGCTTGAGACTTTGTGCCCTTTATTCCCTTATCTGCTCTTTAGACCTTTCGATCGATGCCATGGCCGAAGATTTGTACATGCAAGATATGGACGTTCGCCTACTAGCCTTGGGAAGCTTTCAACTTCCTATAGCTTCCACGGTGGAGAACAAAAAGAAAATGGTTATAAGGAAATAAAAGCAAAAGACACCTGAACCTAAGCCGGTCGACCTAGTCGCCTCTTCGGTTGGCCCCAACACTCATCTTTTGAAGAAAACATTGGCGATGGACCTCCATTTGACTTCTAGTCTAAGTGTTGGTGGGGCAACTGAGGAAAGTGAGCAAGCTGCTCCTCCCGTAGAGGGAAGTGAGGGTGGTCAGGAAATGTTGAATGAAAATTCGATCATCGATCCTCCCACACCCCATTTTCAAAGTAAGGATGGAGGTGCACCGGCTTACAGAGCGAAAGAACTCTCCATAACTATTTCAGAAATGAACCAATTTGTTGGTATGTGAAAATTATTTCCTTCAACAATTTTTTAATAATCCTTTGACCTCATTTTTAATGTAGATGATTTGATTGCTCTGGAGGATTGCACTGGCAGCTAGCCATCGAAGAACATTGTTGATCCCCCCCTCCCCCCAAACAACTACGGCTGCACTCCTTGGGTTAATCGTTGTACCTCTGGGATCGATCGCTGCACCTTATCTATCGACTGGTCAGGTTTTATCAAGATCGTTAGACCCCTTCAGCAGCTCTCACTGAAGCATTTTGAGAGCCTACAACTTTCCTCCAATTCAATGAAGCAACGAATGGTGGAAATGACCAGTCCCTAGGTGAAAGAAACTGGAGACCTGCTAATGCGCCTGCGCCAGAGTGGTTGGTTCGATGTGAGCTGCTGGAGGTAGAGTTCACGGAACTTTAATGCAGGTCAACCGACATTGTGTGGTTCGCGACAGAGGTTGCAGCACTTCAGGGTGGCCTGAGTGACGTACGTGACGAGTTAGAGCCCATCTATGAGTCGAATATTTTGTGTAATTTCAATCAAGTTTTCAACTGGATGGACAACATGAGGCTAGGTGGAGAGCTAGTTTTTTAAAGGATGCTTTAGCGTGGGTATGCCTCGGCAGAAGCAATGGAAGGCCCCTCTATAATTTTTTTCCTTTGTAGCCTTAATCATATTATTTGCAATAAAATAGTATTTAATTGAATATGAAATGAGATTTGGTGTGTCACTTATCATTAAGAGACACCTTGATTTCCAGACTCACTCCATAAATAGGGCACGAGGTTGCTTTGCATCCTTTACTCTTTCAAATTTATTTTCTTAGTCTGTTAACTTTTCTTTCTTCCTTCGTATTTCAGTTGTTTTCTTCCTTTGTGATATGATACCCCTAAGTACTCCCTCATTCTCTTCGGCTCATATCATGTTGTAGACTCATTGATGCTGCCCATGGGAGATGTTAAAAAGATGCAGAGGTTGTACATTTTTGACAACACGTTGTCCTTCAAAAAGTGCAGAAGTTGGAACGCCCGACGAACAATGTTGGCACAAACTCGGTCTTCTATCAGGATTAGTTCAAGTACAACCTTCAACTGCTTCTATGCTCCAATTTGCGGAGCGTTTTCAATAAGTATGGAGTTATTCCAGTACACGTCCTTCTAAACCTCATATCTGTCATTATGGTTTTTGTCATTATTTACTGTCAAGAAGTCATCCCCTTGTTGATCAATCTATTTATCTACTTTTATTCATTCAAGGTCGACAAAGAGGGCTTTTTCATGTTTTATGTTGGGAAGAAACTCCAACTACTTGGAGTAGAGAATAAGATAAGGAATTGCAAGAAACAGTTCATGGTTGATTCTTGTTTCAACGACTGAGGAATTTTGACGTGGTTGGCAGACAAAATAAGGGCCAAGAAAAAGTCAATTCCAAAGGACCTGCGCGTTGTCAGGGCTGTGTTGGATAGGCACCAACTCTCAGTACTCTAGTATACTGCCAAGAGAATCGTGAATCAGGTGTTGAAGGCTGAGATGACTTGGGATCTCTAGCTGACTTCAGATACTGTTGAAGTTGCATGGGCAAAGGAGGTGTGAGAAATATTAGCTACCAAACAACAAAAGCTAAAGCTTCCTTCATCGATAAGTAATCTACTAAAAGGCACTACTTTAGAGGGTCAGCTTTTTAATGTTGTTTCCCATCAACGGCCGATACTAGTGGGACAAAATTTGTTACCTCTTGATTTGATACCTCAATCGTCATTTAGAATACTATGAATGATGAGGTTACTATTATTGTTGATCTCGTTCGCTTGATGCGAACAAGCAGAGGAAAGGGAACCGCTTCTAATAAAGGATTTTTTGAAGGGATGGAGGCACCCAACACTTCGGTTCGCTGCACCACTTATCCATCCATCTTGCTCCCATCTGATCCACTATTGATTGCTGCTCTTCCTTTCGACTCTCGGTCTGCTTGTCCGTTGCTGACATCACTTTTGGTTGAGGTTTAATTTTTCCTTTTTAGTAGCCTATGGTCTAGCCATAGGACTTTCCTGTTGATTATTCCTAGAAAACTAGAAAAGGAAGCCTCACCATTAGAAACTCTAAACACCTCTTTGCTCAACTTGAAGTTCCACATATTGATCTTAACCTCTAGCACTTAGTATCTGGAGTCAGTATGAATGATCTCAAGGAAAGTCCCCATATGAATGTTTGACCATAGGGTTACTCTGGGTGTTGGTTTGGAGCTAGTTCACTCAATTACACTCACTACCACCTATATTCACTTGCAACCCTAAACTCAGATTTGTTGACTTTGATCCCTTGATCTTTCGGGAGACTCATATAGTTGGTCCCCTATACCCACTAACCCTAGGCTAGGATTTAGCTAGGACCAGTACATATAGGACCCAAATAGGGATTTCATTGGTCCATAGCTTATACATGGTGGTTGACACCCAAATTCTACCAAAATCTCCAACTTAGCCTTTTGCCCCAGATCCACCCAAATTACCTAAATGCCCTTGAAACCTTAAATTTGACCAAAATTCTCAATTTCACCCAAAAAACCTAAATTTGTTCAAAAATTATTTCAAACCATTTCAAAATACCCAAATTGCCCAAAACCACCCAAAATTATCAAAATACCCCCCAAATTTGCCAAAATTACAAAAATACCCTTGGCACCCCAAACTTTTCCAAAACATCCAAAGTCACTTCAAATGTCTCTAAAACCAATTTAGACCCTTAAATTGAACCCAATTTGGCCAAGTTGACCATTTTGACCAAAACCCCCAAATTGTCTTTAAAGGCCTCTTTGACCCAAACCCCCAAATGCCTTTAAAGAACCAATTTCCCCAAATTCACCTCAAATGTCCATCAATTTGGCACAAATCCCTCTCAATTTCAATCCTAAACTCAAATTCATATTTCATTTGATCAATTTAAACCAAATCCAAGCCTATAAACCAAATCCAAGC